GAACAGTCTAAGAAAAAAGAGATAATCAGGCCTGCCATAACCCGCTTTGCGACAGATTACTTGGCTATGGACTCCATTCAGGAATATGAAGGTACAATAAAGTGATTGTTTACCAGTGAAGAGTGGTTAAATGACCGCCTCTCGAAGTCTAGTACCGGGCTAAAAGTAGATGACATAGTCTCAAATAGAAGGTTCTGGTCTCGATGTTCCAGTATCGTAAAGGCCACTGCCCCTTTGGTCACGGTGTTAAGAATGATCGATGCTGACAAGAAAGCTACCATGGGCATCCTTTATGAAGGTATCGAGAGGGTCAAATCAGCTATTGGGGAGAAATGAAGTTTTGCTAGTAAAGTGATTGAGATTATAGAAAGAAGGTGGAATACCAAATTTGGACGTCCAATTCATTATACAGGTAAATATATATTTATATCATTAGAATGTTTCATTGTAAATTATCTTTTTATGAAATTTTAAATGACATTTCTCTATCTATATATTTTTCAGGTTACTACTTCAACCCAAAATTTTTCTATTTGACACCTGAACATCCCCACAAGATTATGGAAGGGATACATTATTGCCAGGTTGAAGAGAAGCCATCGAAACCAGGTAGCAGCAATACATGAGGTATTATTTAATATTTCTATAAGAACTTGATTGAATTGTTATATTTGTGAGGAATAATGCACTAAAACGAAATATTTTGTTTTAGCTTGCTATGTATAGGGATGCTATAGGATCCTTCGGAACTAGACTTGCTAAGAATTCTCGAACTAAGATGGATCCAGGTTATCCCCTAACTAATATTTTGTTCATTCATATATTTAATCTTATGAATTGTTCTTGCCCTTACAATGCTTTTTGGATTTTAATTTAGCTGAATGGTGGGAGATATATGGTAGTGATACACCTCACCTAAAGAGGATAGCAATCAAGGTGCTCTCCTAGACATGTTCAGCTACTGGCTATGAGCGAAACTGAAGTACGTTTCAATGGTTGCACACTACTAGAAGGAATCGACTCTCTTCGGAGACGCTTCATAAACTAGTCTACGTTTATTACAACTTAAATCTCCGAGAGCGACAAATAAGAAGGAAGCTT